TATTTTAATATTAAATATCAAAAGTGCGTAATGTGAGACATGTTAATCCTGTCAGATAATCAGGTCCATTACCTCCTTATGATGGTCCATATACGTATTTTTATCCTCAAAATATTTTTAAATAGTATGGAAGATATAAGAGCTGTATGGCAAAATACTTCAATTGGTAGATAAGGAACATGGAGTTGTTAGATGGATCCAGATGAAATCATGAGAAGAGTACCAGGTATTTGTTAATTATGAAAATTTCTAGGCATTACAAGAAGAGAGGTTGAAAAGATTTTGAATATGGGTTTTGGATTTCGCATATTTAGTTTATAATTGTGGTTTTGATGTGGATTATGATTCAAATAGTGTTTATGTTGCTAGGTAAGTTGTGACAAATTCAAAAGGTGAGAAAGTTGAAATTCTTTGGAATGTTTAAGTATTGGAGGGATTTAGCTAAATTACCTGTTGATTTTGCACCAGTGAGAGAACTCATAGATTATCATTGGGAAATTTTTCTGTGGTAAGATCTTATGATAAAACCAACAGGTGATTTAGATTTGGGTGTTCCAAATACTTGGTTTGAATTTGAATGCGAATGTAATTGAGATCTTGATTTATTATTCTAGGGGGAGGTGAAATGGTTGGAATTGAAGATTAATTCAATATACATGAGAGTGAAAGAGTATTTCCTTCACCAAAAAATCCAAATTGTAGAAGAGAATTATGGAAATCATAAGATGACATATAGGAGTAATGAGAAATGGAAGGTAGATTTATTGTTGTAAATTTTATTTCGATGAAAATTGGTATCCAAAGGAAACATCCTAAAACATTTATTAATAAGCTGATTACAAAAAAGTAACTAAATCAGGCAGCACATTAGGAAAAAATATGATAATTTAACAAATTTTGGTATTCTAATATAAATTGATGGATAAATTAAAAACATAAATAATGTCCTCTAACTTTCATTAAAATTATGATAAAAATTAATTAAAATCTGTTCGACTGACTATATTATTAATATTTATAATATTTATATATATTTATATAAATATTTTAATTAATTTTATAATACTTAAGCTATGAAATGAAGAATAATCTTAAATTATTGAATTCCTTTTTCTTTATTAGAGGGCACTAAAATAATATAATTGAATTACCAATTATCAACAGATTTGATTTCAATCTTTTGATTAATAAATTTATTCTTTAACTTTTCATGTTCATATCTATTGAAGATATTGTGATATTTCATTTAAAATTTAATCCATTTACTAAAATAAAGTTATTATATCTTAGGTCTATAAACAGAATCTGCAGTAAGCAATGCTTAAATCAAGATTTATAGATTTTCATCTTATGAAGAATCAATACTGATTTCATTTCCAGAAATTTATTTAATTAATTCACGCTCTGTTTTAGCACTAAAATGTTTTTTACAATGATTTAGAATCTAAAATAGGTAATAATATCTTAATACATAAAGAACTATTCCTAATGACGATGATTCAACCTTTTAGTCATGAATTTGATTATTAACAACTTCTGGAGGCATATACTCGGTAGTACTTTCTAATTATTTATAATAAATTGTATTATAAAATAATATATTAAATGTACCACAAAGTATTGGTTTAATTTAAGAAATTTGGGTGGCCCATCCAAAGTCTGATAGTTTGTAAGTTTCATCATCCTCATGTACAAGGATATTGTCTAACTAGAATTGGGGAGATGTTACTTACTTTGATATCTCTATGCACAAGATTCATTTAATGAATAGAATCAAGAGCATTAAGCATTTAATTAAGGAATTAGATTAATTTTTTATTTGTATATGCTTATGAGGGGATTTGCAATTGTCCCTACTTACAATATTCCAAAATCATGTAGATGTTTTTATTATCTTCAAATGAATGAAACACTTTTACTATATTTCTGTTGTTGATACTTGATTGAATTTGAATCTCTTATCTTACCATCCCCTCAGCTTAATATTTATTCAACATACATTTAGAGATCTAAAATAAATATAATATCAAATACAATTTTACAAGCAAATTCCTAGTTACTTTTAATATCTTATACTAAGTATACACTACCAAATGAACCATTCCCTAATTTTTTTTTTGATTTAGTAGGCATAATCATTTTGTATAATTAAGTTCATAATAATATAATTAATTTTTAACGATGAGTTCATTAATAGTAATCATTAAAATTATATTATAAAATAAAAAAATAATATTATAAACTATTATTAATATTTATTCTGAAGAATCAAGAGGATAAGTTCAAATTCATATTATTAAATATAATCATCTATACTATCTAATTTGAGTTTGAATAAAATCAAATAAATCTATTTCTTTATTTCAAATATCTTAAATAAAGAACTTAAGACAATATTACAAATAATAATATATCTATAAATTAAGTTTTATAATGAAAATTAACTTAAACTCTAAATTTTATAGTCTTATCAAATAAATATATTAAAATTATAAATTTCATTAGAATAATATGGTAGAACAATCAATACTATATAATATAAGAGTTTTAAAATAATTTGATCTTATAGATATTAAATAATACAATAATTATTCATTAAAGTGTAAATTTATTTTAAACATTTCCTCCTATCAATATTTCTAAATGAATAGGATAAACAATATTGTTTTAAATTGGAACAAATTCCACTTTTGTAGCAGTTTTCTTTTTTTTATTTTTTGATTTCTAAGGTTTAGATTAAGCTCTGTAGGTAAAAACGATTGTTTTTGTTGTTGAGTATTTTAAATTCAATTATTAAGCTGTCTTATAATATAAGTATCTAAAATACTAAATTGATCTTAACTCCTTATTAAATCACTAATTTAAGTAATTATGATTTCTAATGGTCTGGAACTTTTTAATAATTTCTAACTTTTTTAAAACAGTAGATATTCGATATAAATAAAGTTAATTTCATTATTATAATTCAATAATATTTAAGACTATAATACTCTTAATTTATATTCCCTTTACTCTATAATTATTAAATATTGAATTCTGAATTTAAATAAGTCTAATTAATAATTGATTATTATGTATAAATTTCTATTAAAATAAAAATATTATTTGTAATAATATTTATCTAAATTATTATTATAAAAAGATTAAAAAATTTATTATACAATTAAATAATAGAATAGTTAGTAAATTTGATTTATTATATTAATTAATGCATAATTTATAAGGGAAATTAAGATAGTAGTTGTAGAATAGGATGGAAAATAAAATGATAAATTAAATAAAAACTAATTTATATACTTTAAATTGAATTACTGAAAAGTGATTAAGTTCCATTAATAAGGAAGAGAATGAGAATGAAATCTAATTTTAGAGATTATAGAAAAGTAATGAAATAATATAAATGTATTAATAATTATTAATTTTGGTTATAAAATGTTCAGGTATGGTTTAGTAGGAATTATTGCAACTTATGGTGTTATAGCTGCAATATTTGGATATATAGGTATTAATATTTTGATTAATGTAGGTTATGAATTAAATAATATTATTGAAATCTCTCCGAAAATAGACAACGAAGTATTCACTTGAATTTATTATAGTTAGCTTCTTAAGTTCTTAATTCAAGCAAATCTCCAAATATTTCAATTGATGCGAAGACTGACATGAAGAGAGCTGCAGCTAAATAAATTTTATAAGACTATTAAACAAAGAAGAAGGATCCAATTGGAGTATTTGAATAAATCGAACAAAAATAATCCTTAATTTAAAGAACCAGATATTTGATTAATTTATTTATTATGAGTTATCTATATTTTGGTACATTACCTTCTTCAGTTTGTACTTTTGAGTAAAAATTTTCATTATTTTCTAATAGATCAAATACTAAATAAATGGAAATCATTCATCCAAGTTGGCCATCAATGTGGCCTAGAATGCTTACTGATGGCAAGTCTATAGTAATTATATCCTATTTTAATTTAGGATTTTGGACATACACCTATGCATTAAGATAGCTCAACACATTATACATAGTATTTACATATAATTATACTGTTAGTATGCGACCATTAACAAAGAAAATTAAGCATTATTTATGGGAATGTGAAGAGGAAAAATTTTTTATAAGGCTTGTTTAAT